TTGTTTTTGTGCATACGGGGGTTCGCGTGGGGAGGGGAGGGGAGCCCCAGCGGGGATCATCTCAGGGTTGGGCCAGACTGCGCGGCGTACGCCGCGTATGCTCCTATGATGAAATATACCGGGCGTACGCTGCGTACGGCGCGTGCGCCGTTCCCTGCAAAGTCCGGCTCAACCCTCAACGATGAAACGCACATCCCTTCCTCGCGGAGATGTACGTGCATACAAGCCTTAGTCTATTTTATTTTGGAGGTCAACCGTCTTCTTACACTAAAGTTAATGAATTCATTTTAAAAAGTACTGATTATCTTACACAACAGTGCTGAGAATGCTTCCGAGAAAAAAGATGATATACCGGAGTTACGAAAGTTACTACAAGTCGAAAGTTGAAGTTTATCAAAAATCTCAGATTTTGTTCTTATTAAAAACATGCTTATTGTTAGCACTTAAGTGTTGGTCAAAGCTATTAAACAAAAGTCATTCTATTTGCTTTGAAAACAGAGTTTCTTGTAGAGCAGAATTGGAACTGTACAAGTACTTTGCCGTAATCTAACGCTTGAGCGACGACAAAAAGAAAAATCCACCAACCTATGGGAATCTAGTACCTCAATGCAACTTCATTGCCTATTCCATGATCACTTTTAGCTGAGAGCGCTTCTATCTCCATTCAAAAAGTGTGCACAATTTGTATGTATTGTATTGCACTGTAAAATCAAAACACTTTGATCAGCTACAGATGATGCTGTACGTAGTTACGAAACTATTTTTATCTTTACTTCTGATACTATCGCTTGTCTTTACACCCAAGTCATTCTGTAGAAGCTGCATTGCTGTAGATTTCTGTCTACAATTCTAAATCAGCTTACAGTTTCTGCTCTTCGAACACTTCCAGAAAATAATGCAGCAAAGTGGCATTAATCACCAGACAAATTGCCGCTTGGCACTTAAGATCTAATAATGGAAAGATATTTGGTTGAAGTGGCCTTTTAATATAACATTTGAAAAAACCCCCATTTGGAAGGCATAAAATGCTGATCCAACTTTCTCATCTGCGGAGCTTTTTTGGGAGCGAAGTTAGGAGGGGCCTCCGGAGCAAAATGCTGAATGCGTAGTGTGGGGAGAATAACTTATTGAACTTTTTCTAGCCTAAATGAAGCAATGATGGGCGGAGGTAATTTCAAATTCAAGTTGTTTATTGCATAGAGTGCCCTGACAATTATCACGGCTGCACTCGCCAAAAGAAGATTCAACACTGGTAAGGTGTTTGAGCGATCAGTTTTTTGCTTCAATAAACGCTCATAACTCTTCGCTCGAAAACACTTCGCAAATACGGAGAGGTTTGAAATTGGCTGCTCACTCCTTGCAAGACATTATACAGCACATTTCGAATGGCCACCTCTAAACATCATTTCCTCGTAAGAATAAGCTGAAGAGAAGTGTTGTTTATGGCGAATTGCTTTTCTCCCGTGTTGCGGTTGCTCTCAGACAGTTCCTACAAGGCTCCAGCACAGGCAAAATTGTTCTATCATTTGAAAATTATGTGTTATCAAGAATAGGATGGCTAGTGGAATTGACAAATGATGATGAGGTGATGTAAACCTGATTTTACGTTCGCTAAACGCGGAGGAAGAAGTTTCTTAAGCAAAAAAATGACTGTAGTGCAAGAGCACGAAGGACAGTCCTCCAAGCTCTCAAGTGACGCAATAATGGAGTCAGAGCATTCTATGCTACAACTCACGCCGGATATCCCCCCCCCCCACCTTGTTTCGTTTAGATGCTATGAAACTGTAAGGCTATTCTCGTGAGTCCGTCAATGTTGGATCAACGTGACTTGACGATTTGCCATATGTATACAGATTTATCGCGCGCGGCTATCAAATGCATATGCGAGTAACTTTTATAAACTGTATCAGACCCCCGAACTCTCGCCCAAGAAAGGCGTGCTTACGAGTAATATGAAGGGGGCCTCTGCATTGCCAAGTTGCGCAGGGACAAGAATTGTATGTGTATGCTTTAGGCTTAAAGATAGATTGAACGAATTACATGTTCAAATTTTGCCCGGCCCAATGGCTATCGTCTTATGGCGAATATCAAGCCAAAATAACTCCGGGGACAGTATCATATTTAAATTTATTCTCTTGCAAAAAATTTGCTTCTCTTAAAGTCACTGGCCTTGCATGAAAAGCTCCAGATATAAGTATTCGTGATTCATTCGTGATAGTCAGCAATTTGCAGTGAGTTTCAAAACGATCATGATGCTAGAATGAGGAGAGATTGATAGTAGACCCATGCGAACCTCTACGAAACAGAGGTGACGCACTGTTTGCAAAATAATGAGCATAATTTTTCCTGTCCATCTGTCATGAAAACATCGAAAGTGTTTCACAGTACTCGGAAGCATGCGAGGGTCCCACAGCGAGGAAGGTATTTATTCATCGGTGCAGAAAATAGAGATGTAATTTCAGTAGCACGCTAGCAGTACGTAAGTTTACCTGTCGTTCAATAATGGTGTTTGCGAAGCAGAGCTGACTCGCTAGTTCTATCACTATGCTCATTAATGACCTTGTAGACTGTGCATGAATCGGTTCGAATTTATATCGAAAATCAAAAATTGAATATCTTCCATTTGTATCTTAATGAATTACAAACTTCTTCGCTAAAAACTAGCACAAGCAAACGTATAATGATGCCGATATCATCCACGCAACTTAGGCAAAACAAAAAAGCAAATTATTCTCCACGGCGAGAAAAGTTTGTCCAATGCTTTCCGGTGAAGCACGTAGTTACAAAATTCAAAAAGTTGAATAACAGCGAATATTGAGAGGAAGCATCCAAAGTAATTGTACTGGACACTTCACTGATCAGGATATGACGTTCGAAATGAGCTGGAAAGCATTATAGCAAGTCTCTGCACTCGCAAATGTCTAGACACTTAATTGCCGTAATATAAATCGGACAGCTTATTTATGAAACAAAGCTTCGATAAAAACAAGGATATCGAAGCTGTTACTTGCTTAGAAAAGGAGTGAGTCATTCGCCTTGAACTTGGAAAAGGTCAACGTGTATGATTCCAAATAAGCTGTCCTTGCTTCGTCAACGATTCTGTTGCTATTACTGCAGAATGCTCTTAGATTTGTCGCAATCATGATGCATGTGATAGTAGGATGATTGTCCGCTAACGGAAGTTGTAGCGTTTCACGTCGTACCAAAACATACCTTCACATAGAAATACGTATTCTGGTGTTCTTACCACCTTAACGAAAAGCGACGAGATCAGCACATAGGCGATGCTGCTGAGCTCACAACCATGTGAGTGAATGAAGTGGAAAAAGTGAACCTAGTAGATTATTGCAAGCATCAAAAAATGCGTTCATAGTTTTTTTAAGCCGAAAAGTAGATTTTGCATTTTCTTGCACCAACTATCTCGGGGGTTCATGTGTGAGATTTAGAAACCGAAGAAGGCTATGGAGTTCCAACTGTAAACTGCTCACAAAGGCTCAAAAAGCCGGTACAGACCATGAATATGTATCCTTATGGAGTGGTTTTTGACTTTGCGATGTTGTCAGTGCTCCTGATCGGCTCTGGACGAACAAAATGATTTATGATGTTGCAGACAGGGCCTGGCACCAGCTGGCACGGGGCAAGCTGGATATCGTTTTTGGGGCAAAAAGCAAAGGGGGTTTCGTTTTTGTGGGTGAAGACATACGCAAAATTGGCGACGACGACCTTTTTTTTTTTTTTTTTTTTTTTAGTCGACGTTTCGTTTTTTGGGGGATTTTGGGGATTTTTTTAGGATTTTAGAGGGGATATCGTTGAGGATCAAAGGGGACTTCGTAAAATTTCCCAAAAGTCAAGGGGGACTTCGTAAAAATTGGCAAATTTCAAAGGGGACTTCGTTTTCAAAATTCCCTGGTGCCAGCTCGTGCCGAGCCCTGGTTGCAGAGCCAAAAGAAAGTCTCCGAATTGAGCACGTTTTTTCGGATTCCGATTATTGTTCGCACTCCCTACGTTAGTTTACATCTTTCTCTTTTCTCCGATCAATGAAAAAAAAAACGTTTACTCTTCCCGCGAGCAGTACGCATCAATCTTTTCAAATCTATCTCTACACTGCCAAAGGTAGTTAGCAAAGTTTTAGGTGTTCTATATTCTGCTGAAACTAGCATAAGAAGTTTCACTTTGACATGTAACTGGGGACGGAATCTCATTATTATGTTGTTACGCCAATACTATTATCCTCTGAGAGGAAGTGAGTGTGATGGTAGTGAAAATCGTGGCTGGAGATTTTGAAATTGCTTCATTTCGTAGTTGCTTGCCTAAAGCAATGCTTAGATGAGCTCATATGCCCACAGAATTAATCTGGAGAAGTAGAAAGGAAGGCAGGTAAAAGGAAAACACAAGAAAAGGCAGGTGAGATACCGTGCCCAGAAACATTGGTTTCGCTGGAATTACAAGTACACAGCTTCACTTAAGAAAGACTGGATGAGATTCCAGAAACTAAGCTAGGTTTCTGAGGGCTACAATACGATTAAAAAATAGGATGGAGGGTCTGCTTAATTCTGACGGACAAAATGCGGATGCATCTGATTAGAAAGTAGTCTTTGCAGCGTTGTCAGTTTTTAGAGTTATCTCGTTAATGTGAAATGTTAATGAAGTAAATGTGATCTTGCTGGTCGCAAAATTGAAAAATCCAATTCTGATTATTACAGATAGAACTGCAGCTATTACTCAAAGGTCAAAAAATTACACTTTTTTTACAAATTGCAGTTTTCAAAATTCTGGTCTCGTTTACAACAAAATTACAACTATATTAGATATGCTCAATCTCAGAGACTCTTAAACGTCCATCTAACCTAGCTCACTTTCATCAGACATGAGAAGATGAATTATGGGAGAAAAAGGTTTCATGTCAAAGTAATACGACAGTGTGGACAGTGTGGCAACTTGATTGTGTGTTGCAGATAACATAATAAGCATTCCTTGAAGAGGTTTTATTCTGTAGACAGTCACGTCCACATCTTAGAATACCCACTAAAGTAGACGTCATCTTTTCTTATAACCGCTTGGGTAGCTTGGTTCAGTCTAGTCGTTTTCAAACGTTTTGAATACTTTGTGATAAACCACATCATGATTTGTGAGATTGCCGTATATACAGGAATAATCTGCAAATCGCTACTGAGGTATTTCTAAAGCATTATTTTTAAGCTTACGTAGGTGAGGGAGAACAGCATTCGGAATGTGACATACTCGAATTTTCCCACATTGCTAGAGAGAAATGTAGAAAGAATTGTGAAAAATATGTAGCATAGGCTATGGAATACGGCGTGAGGTAGGAGTAATCTGATCACAGTGTAATTTTCGTTCAGTTGATAAGAGGACGTAAGATCGAAATGCTTTCTGAAAATAATAATAGTTTCGTAACATGTGTAACAAGATATATGCAGAAACACCTACTTTTTTACGGCCATTCGATTTGTAGTGAATAGAAGCACAACGCCGATCAACGCAGTTATGCTAACTCCGCAAAGAATGATGTATATTGTAGCCGATCTTGCTAATGTAGCTGGCGTAGACGAAGAGCAGTACGGTTTGTCTGAGTATTCTGCTCTACGTAAAGCCCATGCGGTGAGAGCGAACGCAGCCAGGACCTACATGCACAAGATGAGATTGGCCTCTTATGATCAGGGCACCTACCGAGAACGCAGCAAGGGCGAAACCTAGTTCTCCTCCGAACTTTTCGTACTTCTTGCGTTTCCACAAAGCTACACAGCGTTCGGTAACCATTGCAACCTGTCAATATAACCTCTTCGTAAAATGATGCACGACTGTACACAACAAACCTGCAAATTCGCAAAGCATACCATGCAGAAAATTAAGGAAAATCGTAAGAAAAAACAAGTGTCGGCAGGAACCGCAAAGTGACAAAAGTCGGATATTGTGAGATACTCGAACATTTGATAGCCCTGGAAGACTTATATAAAGAGAAGAAAAAGAAATTAGGTGATCCTCTTTCATCTAACAATCAGGCCCGTATGCACCCCCCCCCCCCCCTTTACGAAGCGCGGGCGCACAATAAATAAATATTAGGTTGGCACATAAGTTTTGCAACTTTTTCCGTAACTTTTTTCCTATTTTATATAGCAATCTCATTTTGTGGCATCATGTAGATCGTGATGTAAGCTGCAAGTCTGCGCAAACCGTTTGATTTTTGATAACGTAGTACAAAAAATCTAAGCATTTTTTGAAAACTGCTGAAAATCGAGGTTTCACGATTTTTTGGCAAACATGAAGCCCTGATTCAAACATATGAAAAAGCGATTATAGGCAACATGTAGCTGAAAGTTGGCACATTGGAATCAGTGAAAAAGAAATGAAATTTAAACACAAATTAAGGTGGGGCGCCTTTGAGAAGTTGAACAAGTCAAATGCGTCAAGTTTTGAAGGCAATTTGTCAATAACTAAGCTGCGAAAAGTCAGAATTCGCTATAACTTTGCACTATAGGGTAATCCTATGCGGTAAAAACGAATATCATATTCATTTGCCGCTAAAATGAAATTCATTTTTTGATCTCACGAACGAGGCCTTTTCATGCGAAACGGATCTCATTTTTGTGATCAGCATGTCAAATAAGCCCTATAGGCCAAGTTTCAGCAAGATCTGATGCATTCTAAAATTTTTCCCATAGTACCGTAAACCTACCGTAATCCTCACATAAGATGGTAAAATTCGGCAAAAATGTGTGCATTAGAAGCTTACATCATATTCCTTATATTGCCAAAAGATCAATGCGCTACGTTCAAATAGACAAAAGTTATATAAAAAGTTGCATTACTTATGTGCCAACCTAATAGTATTGACAAATTATTATTCTCCGGCTTTTTAATAGCAAAAAGAAGAGCAAAAGCAGACAAGGAGTTTACAACGTTACAACAAAGAGAAAAACGGCAAAGCAACAGGCCTTGACGACATCCCCGGCTAGTTGTGGAAGGAGTGCGGCCAAGCTGGAGTTTAACACGTCTTTTTCAACCGAATAGTAGAATGCGTGAATTTTCCGAGGGATTGGCGCAAGAGCACAATGATACTAGTATGGAAGAACAAGGGGGATATCGGAGGAGTCTGCTCTACAAACCGGCATACGCGTCTCACCTGCCACGCGCTGAAGATATTTAAAAAGTGCTGGAAGCAAGACTTCGTAACATCATAGAGCAGCCAATCAATGTAGATTCGTGAACTAATATAGCACGACGGAAGCCATCCACACTGCCAGAATGATGCGCGAACGATGCAGGGAAAGACAATGTGAAGTCACGACGCATTCCCAGGTCTTGAGAAGGCATTCGAGTACCGCAAGAGATAATATAGTGGCCATTGCAAGACGCATGATATCAGAGGATTGTGTACGATGATCCAATACAAAGATGTAGGAAGCACAGGTTTTCTACTCCCACCGTTTCTGTTCATCACCGCGATGAGTGCAATAAGTCAAAGATGGTCATACGGCAACGGCGTGGGCACTCATGTATGCCGATGTAATCCTAGTAGGGGGAAGCAGGCAAGAACTACAGTTAGATGTGCAGGAATGGAAAAATCAGTTTGAGGATTGAACGGACAACCATGACAGAGTATATGGAGAAGCTCAAACACCTGAAACCATCCGGATCAGAACCTCTAAATAAGGCAGACACTGAACTCCTTGAGGGGTATGACAAGTTTCAGCAATCAATCGATAGCTGTCTAAAGTGCAGTCGCCCACGCGACTGGCGACGGAGGATGTTATACTCCTCGAGGAGTATAGCGCTTGCCTAAGAAGATCAACCTTTCAAGTACCTGGGAAGTCGTATTCTCCGCAGTGGTAGTCGCCATGACGAAATAATTGGTATGATGAAAGCAGCATGGATGGAAAGGACAATGACAGGAATCCATGCGGCAAGCGAAAACCATGAAATCTCAGGTCTCTGATACACCGACAGTAGTACGACCGACGGTGCTCTACGGGAGTGAATGCTGTTTCTGTACCCGCTAAAGCGAGGAGGATTGGCGTAATGGAGACGCAGGCGCTACAGTGGAACATAGGAGCTACCATTTTGGACCGTATTACAATGGACACAGCAAAGCATGATGAAGGTTGCGCCAATGGTAAAGAAGATGCAAGGGAGACGAGTTCGATTGTACATATAGACATGTGAGCGATGAAGACTACGTAACTAAGTTGGCCACGCCAACGTACAGGTAAGGGGCTGAGAGGAAGACACCTAAGATGAGGTGGCTAGGCAGAGTCAAAGCACATGAGAGAGCTGGAAATAATCGAACAGGAAGCCTTGAGCCGAAAGGAGTGGACACGCATGACGAATACAAGGGTAAAAAAAGGTGCGAAAGTCCTTCCCCAAGTTTGCCTCAATCACACAGATAAAGCAAATCTATTTATTTGTTTTTCAATTCTCATATGTAGGCGAGACCTTCGAGATTGGAATAAGACGAGCTGATTTGATATCTTTTCTTCCACCTGAACAAGTGATAACAGCGAGCAGGATCATCGGCGACGGGCGCAGTATTTGAGCGCGATTTTGGACCTTGAATATACCACCAGCATTGATGTTGAGTTCAAATTAAGGTAGCATGACCTTTTCTCCAATATTCTACATATACTTATTATACAATGTTGTAGTCTTATTTTGGGAGAAACAAGGAAAATCATAGCCGGTAGAAATTTGAAAATTTTCGAATACGGGCTGGTGTGATTTTTCTTGTCTAATGAATCGGATACCAAAATATTAGGTGATTCATAATTGATGCACGTTTTCTATACTTCAATTTTGAACTAAGATAGTTCTTTTTTTGAGAGGACATTCCTGGGCGCAATGAAAACTACTGTAACCATCTAATCAATGGCTATAAACAGATACTTTTGCGTAACTTTATCTATCATAAAAAAGTTCTGGCCTAAAGATTGCCAACAATTTTTTTCGGAAGCCTCTACTTTGAGAGAGCATAACTTATGTTGAAATGAAGTAGGATAAAGCAGAATTCACTCTTCGTGTAGCCAAGGGTATTTTGAAGAGTGGTGCCAAGCTTGGACATTACAGAAAATTTTTGAAAGAAAATATCGCGGAAAAGTCGAAAGTACTCACTCTTTTCTGGCATCTCGGCGAGAAAATCGCTCATTTTTGAAATTATTTCATTTTTCTCCGCTGAAAAGTGAGGAAAACCTAGCACTTTTCTATCATCAAATGAACTAGGTCTACCCTTACTGAATAGTGCAAAAGATCTGCAATCGCCTTTTGCTTTAATGTTTTATGAGGCACGGAAACGCCGCGACGATCACTCAAGTTTGCAATTGAATTTCTCAGCTCAGAATCCATGGAATATTTTGTTCAAGTAGCATCTTGTAGCACAGAGTTTCTTAATCCTTAAGCATATTTTTGAAATTAATACAGCTATTCCTCATGAATTTGGGGCAAAATGAGTGAAAAGCAAAAATTTTGGGATTTAGTCTCTTTTATTTTGAAGGCTTAAAACTTTGGAACAAAAGGAGAAATACGAAAGCGAAGACATATATAAGAAAAAACTAGAAAAAACGCGTTTTCAGATAGCGTAAAAAGTTTTTGAGGAAATTGATTACACATCAAATACCAGCTCTTGGAAAAAGAGGTGAGAAAAACGTGCATTAATTATGAATCAACCTAATATGTTTGAGAATGCAGATTCCTTAAATGAAAAATTGAACAGAATGCTGGGCTCCGTCTACATCATATGTAGTTTTGGGTCAGTAAACGATTGATGGTAGTTTCTGTGCCACACTTATCGCACTCTGTTGCGAACTGTTTCATAGGCAACTTTACAACTACTCTCCTTATGCAACTGTGACTGGTTATTACCGAATTATTCGAAATCAATCCGACCTTCCTCAAGTATTTAGTGAAAGAATGCTCAAATTCTCGTTGAATTCATAAGAGTTTCGGAAAAATGTTCATATTTGTGAAAAAGAATAGCAGAAATTGACAAAGGAACGCTTTGAAAAGGGATCCGCTGCCGAAAAAAATGCGAAAATTGCATTCTTTTCATTCCTTCATTGAGAATTGTAGATAACTAAGATGTTTCTTAAATTTCGTGTAATTTGAGAACTAAGACAATTTTTTGAGCTTTATTCTGAGGGACATTGCCTTTTCCGCACTCTGTATAAGTCATAAAACACTGCTAAAAAGTATTTTTTTTCTTACTCTTCTAAGGCAATGCCCCTAAAAGTATGTATGTGCACAATAAATCCCTCGCGATTTTCTGATGCTCATAGGCATCGTCTGCCCTATGTTTGGGGTTTTTGGCGCATACAATAGTACCTCTATCAGGTCAATGCTCAGGTCGCGCCACAGAATGTCGCTTCTAAGAAAAACGCCTCGGAATAGCGAAGCATGAGGACCCCAAGTCGACACCGTCCCCCTCCAGTAGCCCATCCGTGCGCGCCTATACATTTGGGGTGGAGGACATTAGGTCGCCGAAAAAGGGCGGTCCCTCCGGTCATTTGCGACAAATACGCCCCCTTGTACATGCGCGGACATGCGTTCCTGCAGGGAATCCGCGCGGGACTCTTCAAAATTCGGCGACCTAATGTCCTCCACCCATACATTTGCCGTCGGATTCTCTGGAACGGGGATTGATTTTTGGGTTTTCGCGGATTCTCAAATTCAAATTCGTAATCGGTGTCAGAAGGCAACGGAACGACAGAAACATGGAATTCGAGGATCTCGGTGGTTCGTGCTTACAATGTGAGTCTTATGTCCATGTATAC